GGGTGTTTTGGGGGAGCAGCGGGGTGGGGGCAGCTCTGGCTCCCCAAAGCATCCTTCACAGCAGCCGTTCCCGGTGTGCACCCACAGAGGGCTTGCAGATGTGTCCTTCCCGTTGCCATTGCATCGGGGCAGTGTCCACACTGATGGGTGTCCACCTTGTTGGGTGTCCACCACGTTGGGTGTCCACCACCTCCTCCTCCACCTCCTCTTCCTCCACCATCCCATTGGACACTGGCCTCAAGCATCTCCAGGTGGTACCTTAGTGGCAGAGTTGCCCTCTGAGCATCAGCCCCCCCCCCCCCATCCCACCTCCCCGTGTCCCACCTCCCTGTGCCCACCCCAGCATCCCACCTCTCTGTGCCGGCAGCAGAATGGGGCTGACCATCACTTGGTGTCCCCATGTTCTTACCTGTACCTGGAGGCACATCTACAGCTTGGTGGGTACTGGGAAGAGCCCACACTAATGTGGTACCCCACGGGTGTGCCAGGGGAGAAAAGAGCTAATTTTTCTCTCCAGGGACACACACACACACCTCGGTGCAGCCCACTCGAGGCCTGATCCTGCCCCTGTCACAGCTGGGGTGGGCTCATACAGGGCTGAGGAAAGCATTATGGCCGTGGGAATAAATGGAGTTATCGATGAAGAGCGTGAGGAAGGCAGAAGGTGGGCTTGGGGGGGGATGTACTTTTGGCTGTAGGGCTGAGCGATGGTGCCGGGAGGTGAAAACACTGATGGTCTTCAAAGCTGAGGCTCCAGCTTACTTATAGATTAATTAGACAAAACTCTGCTGGAGTCTGTGGATGGAGCTTTGTCCACTTATTTTACCAGAGAACTTGGCTTCACTCTACATTTCCAGAGGTTTATGTTCAGACACATGCAAATGCTATAGCACTGATTCTATCCTTTTTTTTTTTTTTGTATTTATTTTTTCCCCTTGCCTGGAAGATGTTTGGTTTAAGTGCGTTGAGCTTCTTCTGACGTGAAAGGGTTACATTCTGCTGTTCTGGTAGCTTCAGCAGTCTGAACAAGTGGATTAATCAACCTGTTTTATTTGGCTGGAAATATAATCAGTTGGAGATCTGTAGTCTCTTGTTTTCAGGCTTCCAATTCCATTGCGGTTTCTGTTTTTACTTTCTCTGGAAGAGATAGGATGGCTTAAGATTAGGAACTGCTGATAAAGATACGGAGGGGTTGGGTTGTCTTAAAGCAAAAGCCATTTTCTCCATCCTGCTGTGAGCAGCCCTTGCCAGCTCAGCCCCTCACCTGGCAATGCAGCGCGGTGCCACCCCCGTGTGACAAATAGAGGGGGGGACACACTCTGTACCTGCCCCGAGTCACGTCCAGCACGTGTTTCCCTGCCTGGCCTCGTGTGGAGTGTGTGTGTGTGTCGGTGTCAGAAGGTGTCACCTCTCCCATCTCGGGCTCCGGTGGTTTTATTGAGAGCATCCCTCTCATAGGGGCCGAGGGCCACGTCACGCGAGGGCATTGCAAGGCATGAGGTACCTGGTTTAGGGATGGCTTTGGGATGCTCTTGGATGTCCATATATGATGCTGGCGTAACCTCCTTTTGTGTCTGCTGCCACAGGAGGTGGCAGGGATGCCCGTTGTGTGTCTAATCCCAGCACTGCCATGGACCTCTCCCCCCCACCCCGCGGGCTGCCCTCACCTCCGTGTCTCCGATGTCACCTGTGAAACAGGAGCGCTGGTGACAATAATTCTTCCCTGCCACCCCTGGGTGTGCTGGGGTTTTGTTGTGGAGGCCAGCATCACCTTTTGAAGTTTTAAAGTGCTAATTATTAATGGCTATGGCTGCTTGATCTCAGAATTGCTCTCCGGTGCCTTTACGCTGGGGGGATGGCCAGGGTAGGAACGCAGGGGCAGATTATGTCATCTCAAATGGGCTAATTTGTTATTCGTTAGCGTGGCAGGTTGGGATTATCCCTGGCTGATGGGGGATTGCTGGCCTGTTAGTGGCTTGGGTGGGTTTTGGGGCACTTAGGGGGGAGACAAGGGGCTCGGCAGCGTCCCCTGTGTGGGGTGGGA